CTAACTAATACTGGACCACGACACTCTAATATACTGCACAATAATCTTTTGCACGCAGCTTCAGAATGAGACTATCTGTTACCCTTATTGGGGGCTCGTAGCCACAATACAGTGATTGACGCTGCGTTGACACGCCAGCACCAATATGCCACGTACCACTGAGAATTCTAAAGCTGCGGCTGCTGCCGCGAAAGATTTGGCTCCCATCCCTGAGGAGGAAGATGACGAGTTTCAGGACACCAACCCTTCTCCTCCGGAGCGTCGTTCGGAGTCACAAGCGTCAGGGGACTCCTCGTCGAGTGTCTGGGAGGCGCTACCTTTGACAACTCTCCAACTTTTGGCGGAGAAATTCCATTTGGGACATCCAGCCACCGCCGCTAAAGCTGACTATGCGGCTCAACTGGAACATTTCCAAATTCCTCTCACCGCCATTCAGGACCTGTCATGCGGCACCATTACGGCACCGCTCAGGGGTTTTTATCTCAACGATGACGACGTAGCCGTACCACGGTGTACTTCTCAGCGACCTCAATGGCTTCTTGACTTACAAGCACCGAATCTGCCCAAGCAGCGGGCCGAAGAGGATTTTGAGGACTTCGCAACGAGACTACGCAACGCATTAGCTGTTGGGAAAATTACGGATGAACATCGGCTCTCCGCCCTCTTGGAGAACACGCTGCCCAACATCCAATCAACGGCAAATCGGATGTACAAGAGAGGTATCCGCGAGTTTGAACAACTTGTGGAAGCAGTTGCTCGACGTCATCCGACTCCGCATTTGGATCGCCTCAAGCGTTTTCGGTCGCTCCGCCCCGAGAAAGGGGAAAGTTTCTTCAACTTTGGGGAAAGACTTCGGGAGGAATACGAAAATTACCTTCAACTTCCGCTCGACGACGTGGATGCCTGTGAACCAGTTATCCAGCATATCCTGAAGGAGCAGCTGGTGAACAGTGCGGAAACCGGCCTCAAGGACGAGTTACAGAAGAAGTGGGGCAAGAATCGCCAACTATCTTGGGACGATCTTGTGGACGTGGCGGAAGCTTACCGGCTAAACCATCCTTCAACCGCAACGGGTCAAGCTTCCGGGAAAACTGGTTCACGATCCCGGGTGGATTTACCACCGAAACAATGGTGTGAGCACCACAAGAGAACAATGCGGCACGGGACTCAAGAATGCAGGTTGCGGCTTCGGCAACAATCGTCGGAAAATTCGAGTGCCAAACCGGCTACGGGGACTTTTTCATCATCGAACTCGCGAGGAAACGACATTTCTTTGGTTGTGTGTTTTCATTGTCAAAAGACGGGTCATTACGCAAAAGATTGCCCTCAGACCCAGGGAAACGGGAAGGCGTAACAGTTAACGCGGCGCACTGTTTCGTTACATCTCTCCAAGCCGCCCCCCCACCTATTCTCCTTCAGATTTTTATTTCGGGTCATGGGTTATCAGCGCTCCTCGACACCGGCGCGTCTCATTCCTTTATTTCTGATTCCGTTGTTCGCCAGTTAAATCTTGCCACAGTGTCTTTACAGACATCGGTCGGCACGGCCTTAAGCCCCGAGGCTGTGCAAGTTACGCGATTGGTCGAAACACTTTTTGATTTCCAGGGCACGTCCCACATGGGCTCATTCTTAGTGTTACCGGGGATGAGGGAATTTCCTGTCATTCTGGGCCGAACCATTCTCTTGCAGTTACCATTGACAATAAATCTGGATGGGAAACGCCTGTTCACTGGCTTTCATGAAGTAACACGGCCTCCCGCAAAGCCGTCTTTACAAATTGGCGACGGGATTTCTTTTGTCGACGGTTTCCCCCAAGAGCGAGAAGCAGTGACGCGTATTCTATGCCGTCATTCCCCACTCATGCGCCAATGGTCGGGTCGTCGCGGATTATTCGCGGATTTCGTCGTGCGAATCCCTACGGTCGAAGCATCGCCTCCCGCGGCGCGCCAGTTTCGCCACTCTGTCGAGCGGAACAAGCCTTTCGCGGAAATCATTGACCTTTATTTAGAAGCAGGAATTTTAGAGCCGGCCGCTTCACCTTTTAACGCTCCAGCTTTTCTCGTCAACAAGAAGTGTTCGGATTCATCAGCTCCCGCCGAGAAACGCTTCAGGTTAGTTGAGGATTACTCTGAGCTCAACAAGCTCATCGTCGCAGATAACTACCCTATGCCGACCGTGCAAGAGCTGCTGGAGGCACTCGGACGTAACAACCGATACTTTTGCACCTTGGATCTGCATGCCGGCTACCATCACCTTCCCCTAGCTCAGGAGGACAGGCAGAAGACAGCTTTCATGTCTCCAAGGGGACAGGTGCAGTATAAGGTACTCCCTTTTGGTTTAAAAACAGGTCCTGCTCTTTTTCAGCGAACGATTAACACGATCCTCAGACCATTTCTTTTTAAGCGTTGTTTAGCCTATGTAGATGATGTGATCATTTTTGGTGAGTCTTTTGAAATGTTGTGCGAAAATCTAGAGATAGTTTTACAGGCATTACAGGAAGCAGGGGCGTGTATCGATATTCAGAAGTCTACCTTCCTCGCCCACAAAACTCTTTTCCTCGGGTACGAGGTAGATCAGACAGGAAGCAGGCCCGCAGAGAGAAACGTCGAGGCGGTTCGCCGGTATCCAAAGCCCGACACCCGTCGGCAAATGCAGCAGTTCTTGGGCCTTGCGACTTACCTGCGGGCCCACCTACCAACGAACTTTGCGGAATCAGAAAAAGTTCTTCGCCGCACGATCCCACAGAAGCCAGCAACGAAAATTGCCTGGACACCGGACGCTGAGGTAGCTTTCGAGCATATTAAATCGGTTTTGGCAGATACCGCTCGGCTAGAAAGGGTCGACCCGTCGTGGCCCATCGCAGTACACTGCGACGCATCGGCCGTGTCTTTAGGTGCCGTACTCGTTCAGACTGATCCCGACGGAAACGAGAGGGTCATTGAATACGCCAGTCGCACCCTTAAGGACGCGGAAACCAGGTACTCAAACTCCGAGCGCGAATTGTTGGCAATAGTGTGGTGTGTAACGAAGAAATTTAGACATCATTTAGTGCATCGTCATTTTCGGGTGTTTACGGACCATAAGGCACTTCTAGGGAAGCTGCAGTCCGAGCGTCTAATCAGTCTGAAAACCAAACTAGCCACTTTCGATTTCGAGCTTCTACATAGATCAGGGGCGGCACTGCAAGCGCCCGATGCGCTGAGTCGAATCTCGCTCAACAATGCCGCGGCCAGGGTGCAACCGCCGGAAGCAGATCAAATAGCCCTCATCGACGCGTATCATGCCGAACTCGGGCATGCGGGTTGGAAAAAGGTCTATGCGACCATCAAACAACGTTTCATCTGGCCCAGGATGCGGCAGGATATATGGCGGAGGATCCTCGCCTGTGAACTGTGCTTCAAGTACAATCAGCCGACGCAGACCGTCGGCGCTCATATGAGTGCCATTGAATCCAATCGACCGCGAGAAAGGTTAGTTCTTGACTTTTATGGACCGTTACCTGAAACTGCCGAGCATTTGCGATATGCCATCATCGCCGTGGACCACTTTAGTAAGTACATGATGGCGCATCCCATAGAAAAAGCTGATTCTCAAACGGTAATTCCATTTCTCGCCGAAGTTTTCCGCCAGTACGGGCTTTTTGAAATTGTGCATACGGACTGTGACTCAGTGTTTAATGGCAAAGCGTTTAAACATTTTCTGAAGGGATACGACATTGAGCAACATATAGCGCAGGCGTCGCACCCCGAAGGTAACGGGTGTTGCGAGCGCTCAATTCGAATGCTGAGCCAGATCCAAGCGAAGGCAATTCAGGGACAGGACGAACAATGGGCTCGGCACCTGGCAGATTCAGTAAAGGCGTACAATAGCACAATACATTCCGCTACCGGTGTGACCCCGACAGAAGCAATGTTTGGCCGACGGACAATCCTGGAGGCCGACAACACCTTCGGCGCCCCAACATTGGAGGCCAACATCTCCCAAGAAGAGTTACAACAGGAGGCCGAAAAACACCGCGAACGTTTCATTAATCAGGCGAATTCTCATAAATTACGGCATTTCAGACCAGGTGACATGATTGCGGTATACCCAAGGCTACCAACCGTGGCCAAACATGCTGCAAATCGCCGTTTTCGACCGCAGAGAATTGGACCCTTCATGGTGATATCGCACGAGGGACAGGGAGTCTACCACGTGGGGGCAGGTCCGGACATCCGCCGTGTGAACGCGTGGGAAATCGTACCGTACCGCGGATTACCAAGAGCCCCAAACGCTGGTTTTGAGAAACAGCTGGGACTCATCGACCACGCGTCTGGCAAGGAGAACGTCATAACCAAAGATGACCATTGCTATGCTCAGGATCCAACGCGGGCGCCATCAAACCAGCAACTGGAAATGCGGGCTGAACATAACTATTGGACAGTGAAACCGCAATATGCTAATAAGCGGAACAAGGTCCGAACAAGCGCGCGGTCGCAAAATCGTTCCCAAGGGGTTCATTTTCATAATTCCCGAAAGAAGCGTTCTTTCGCGGGGGGGGGAGAGTAAGGGTGCCCCCTCACATCTTCCAGCGTCATCTATCGGCCAAACCTGTAACCGACCATTCATCCCACCCATAATCGCGTTATCTCACCAATGATCGGAAGGCGCATAGCGGGGGGGTGACTTGGACCGGCCATAAGAACTAAATCTTCTCGTTGAAAGTTTGTCTTAGAGAGTTTACATTCTTTAGATTAATTGACTCTGTAGAAAAGACGTTTTCTCCAGATCAAGAGTGTCTTAAGATAAAATTCTTACGGAATTAGGACAACACTATATTGTTCGAATTATCACACATAGCCTGTATACAGTAACGGCGCATTTGGTATGCATTTTTGAGTTTAAATAATGGAAAAGGAACCACGAGATTTCTGCTGATTTAATTTTTCAGAAGTCATTACAATACTGTATAATTGATTGATTTCCGGTTTTTCAACACTGTTCAATATCGAGCCAGGTGTTCATGATATGGCATCCACGCCCACCTGCAGGAATTATGTGCTGTTTTCTACCGTGAAGTGACGTACTCAGCATTCGACTTTTGCCTTAACAAATTGGAGAATGCGTGCACTTCTTGGAAAAAGACTTACAATGCTCTTTTCTATTGGCAGGTATTCTGTAACCACTTTCGAGACGTATTTCTTCAACAGAATGCCGTAGTCAGCCACGTGCCTGTGTTGATTTTTCTCCGTAAGGGTTTTCAGGATCATCTCGGATTGCCGAAAATCTGGCAAGAAGTTAGATTCCATCGATTCGATCAATGATTCCAGCAGGAACGCGCAATCGTTCCCGACGACCACACGTAAGGAAAACCAGTCGTAAACGTCGATGGAATCATTTGAGACTTTTCTGCCGGTGGACGCATAAGTGCCTTTGAAGACTGCGTTGAAATTGGACCCGCCGCCGCAAGGTTCCTTCTGACACCCTTCCCTGAACCTCTGTTCGTCTGCTACTGTCAAAGACGCGCCACAGAGTCTGGATTTTGACGTTGACCCTCGAAGGAAGAACGATCGCATCCGGGGGATCGCTTGACACATGTTAGGTGTTGAGCAGTGCATCAAGAAGAACCTTTCACCGGTCAAATTCTGGTCCATTTGCCGGATTTGTGCGAAGAACAATGACGGGTTTGCTGGGACCACGTCGGGAAGAAGCTTTTGTGAGCATATTTTTGCGTTGACTACCATTACGTTTGTGTCCCGGGCCGAAGACAGTACAGTTCGGTCAGCATACTCCGCAAGGCAAATCAGAGGATTCGGCGGATTTCTTTCAGAAGCTGTTCCTCGTGATTTGGAAAAATCGCCGTTTAATGTTGCATTGCTGTACTTTTTAAGGTAGTGTGACTGTGTGATCATCATCTGCATCAAAATAAATAATTATACTTGCCAGCCGTGGCTCTTCATATTTCTTCGATCTTTGAAAAATAATGGTAATACCATATCACAATTAAAAATACTGCGCAATGATTCCCTGCAGGGAAACAATTTCTTTTTTGTAAATAAGAATAATGGGGGGACTTCGGATTTTACCACCTCGTTTTCGACTCCCCTTTCAACAAACTTTTACGTAACTTGCAATGGTAAGAATTAAGAAAACAATGGCAAAAGGAATTGTATTTAAAAATGTTTGCTCTGCTGCCTTCCGGCAGAAATATTTTATGACGTACAGCTGGCTATTTCATCGAAAATGATCTTGTTATTTGTGAAATCATACTGTACCAAAGCGTCATACGATGAACAGGCACGAAATTTCCCTGGTAATGCAGGATCTCCGCGTGAACTGAATAATCTACCATGCCGTTTCGATGCGAACCAGGTTTTACAAAACCGCATCTTAAACTCACTTAAATAACGTTATTAATTCAAATACAAGAGGTTATCAATTACAAGGAAGACCTGTATATTTTTTGTACCTGATGAAAGGGATAAATAAAATAAAAACATGTCCCATTGAATAAATTATGCTCTTTCATTATCTCCTCAGCTTAATACTGTATCTTCGAAGACTTCCAACAGATATCAGGATGTTATAACTCCTATGTCCATCGACTGGAAGTGGTTGTATATAAGTACTGTATATTGGAAATATGGTTTTCGTCAATATGTACTGATATCTGATTGTTGCCCTGAACTCAGAAGTCCTGTAAGCCCCCAATGAATTTAAGACACCATCAAATGCAAATTGCTTTCTAGTTTTTCTGATGCAAAGGTTGCGCAAAAAAGTTTTGTCTGCATTCCGATCGAAAATGTGAGGTATTCACAATCGAAGGCTTGGTTCGTGCGAACACCTTTCTCTGATACCTGTTTTTGTCTTGATAGGGATCACATCAGGCGTCAGCATGACTTCCGGAAAGCTGAAGGAGTTCCAAAATCTGACCAGGTCGTCGAAGTCCGGCGACGATCGAAATTGCAGAAAGAACTGGCAATCTTCCCGAGAACAGTGCCCCGCCATTCTGCCTCCGTAGTGAGCTTTTCTCTCATCGCCATCAACTTTCCAGAAAGACACCTTGTTTGCGTAAATATCCTTCTCTACGTCATCCCAGAAGCTTTCTCGAATCGGCAAAGGTCCGCATCGGATTTCGTAACTATCTAATGATGCTGCATCTTGCATGAAACCGAGTTTCGGGATTAGGTATTTTGCTAAGACGGCAGGTTCCAAACTGTTGGTTGTTGCCACGTCCAGGATCGAGATCATTTGAACCGTGGCCATCGTTTTTGTCGTCCAGAGGAGTGATTGTTGTTCGAAGAGTTTTCCATCTCCTGGTTCGGGAAGAAAGCATCCAAAATCAACAGATATCGAAGCTCGATCATTGTTCAAGTCTAAGTCTAATACTGGAATTGAATGCCAAAAATGGGAGACTGATGATTGCCTGTTTCAATGTCAACCAGTATGATTTCTTGTCCATCCACCAAACATACGAGACGCTCCCTGAGCTCGTTAGCCGCGCAAGAAGTGTAGTTCTTTTTTGGCATCGATTCAAGATTTTCGTGAACGGCTGAAAATGGATCGTTAATGTGTATCTTGTACTCGAATCCACTTCTGGTGTGGAAGCATGACAAAATATTGTATCCGTGAAGACATGCGATTCTTCCGTACTCGCTCATAATGAGGTTGACTGACATCGCATCCTGAAAAGTCAAAAGGCTCCTTCGATATCAAATGACGTACGTTCGAATGCCTTGTTTCTTACTTTGAATTTGCTCGTCTGTGAGCAGCTAAGAATTTCCCAAACTGCAGAATTCCACGACAGTGAACAGAAAAACAGCCCATAAACAGTGTCGTGATTTTTTTGTCTTGCCAGCGTAACCAGAATATGTGGCCATGTCTGAACAATTTCCAGAAATTTTGTCGGTTTCCATTGATTGAACTCCGAAGGAAACGTTATCTGGTACCATGCCAATTTCACTACTGAAGCATCGATTTCCTCGAATTCTTCGCGATTTGCTCCAAGAAAGCATGGGGTTGAGCACGTTATGGGAGATTCCACCAGCATTATCCAACCTATTTCACGTGGGATTTGAACTCTTACAGCTAAAATCAAACTTTGAGCCACTGAAGAAACTAATTGTAATCCAGAAACTTTATCCTTTGCAAATGATTGTGATGAAAATTATAAAAATTGTAGATTAATACCTGTAGATCATTGCCAATGCCAACCCTGCAGAAAGATCTTATTCATTAAAAAAATGAAATTTTTTTTTGCATTTTCACCAAATATGAGCAAAATAATATGGTACGGCCTTTAATAGTTTGTCATGAGAGTTTAAAGTTTAACTTTCGTCATTTAGTAAGATCTACACACAATTAAAAAACTGTATTTTAAACTCTCATGACAAATGGTTAGCATGCCGTGCAAATGGTGCAATGAGCGCAAAATTCTGGCAATATACCTGGACAGTTTTTACTTTGCATTATGCAGTCTTGAAAAAATGTCTCAACAATCTTTAAAAATACCTGCAACGTCGTAGGGAAATTTTGCAATTTTTCTCATATCTGACATTATTAGTATTTTCGCGGGCGCGTGGAAGTGGTGCATCCCTAGTTTTTGTACCTGTACAGATCAAAATTTCCTGCGTTTATTATTGCATCAAATCCGCTTCACTGACGCGAAAAATAAAATTGTATCCACTGATCACTGGTTCACTGCTGTAGACATAGTGCGTTCACCTATGTATATTTTGACATAGTCTACCTGTATAGGTTGAACATGTCTCACGCGACATAGACATTTTCAGGGAACAGCGTAGTAAGCCTTTATAAATTCATTGGATTCCACAAGAGAAAGCTCGCCTACAGTATTCTAGGCCAAATGCTCATGTTGCAAAAGTCTAAGTAGCATTCAAAGCAATATAGATTAAGCTACCGTATATGCAGCATATAGTGGTTCTGCCCAACTTTTCTCGTACTATTTTTCGTAGCTCCAGTTTCCAAAACATGCTGCATCGGGATCAGTTTGAGAATATCAAAACTCTCCTCGCTGCCAACCGACGGTCCGAGCAAAGTTTTCATGCCGAATTTGATGAACTTCCAGCTTTCTTCTCCGGGCCTTGTTCCCAGGGGTAGCCAATAAACACGGTCTCTGTTGGAACTAAACTTCACGAGCAATCCTGTTCCAGTATAAATGACGTATTCAATTACGGCAGGATCGGTTACACGCAGTTTTGGAAACGTCGCTGTAAATTCATGTTGCCGATGAGGAAATTCCATACCGGACCTTTCGTCTTGGCTCCAAGATTCGTAAGTAAACTTCATGTTAATTAAAGTATCGTCCTCGGTTTGTTTCGAATAGAACAAGGCCACCGTTCTTTCGGGGACGCTGGGATGCCACTTCCATCCTTGTGGAACGAAATTCCTGACAAAAAAGAGTTGGTAATTAAAAAAACGTGAGTTAAAAACGGATCCTTTGAATCTGAAGAAGTTATAAATTTGATGAGAGAGGACATTTGTACTGTATATTTGAAGACAATTGAATTGGCCATTTTTGAAGCTCAAATTAAGTTGTGAATAGGTACAGTATTATGTCTTACGAATTATGATTAATGATCTCGTCTTTTTCAACAGCTCTATTCTCCCCGATAATACAGAAATATTGTGAAGACCGAAAGCATTATCAAATGCATGTTGTTCATGGTGCTGATTTTCTATACAGTGTTCAGAACATTTCCTGCTCCCTTTGATTCTGCGGCATATTACGTACCAAGGAAACCTATTATTCATTGAAAAAATGGCTGTAGCTTTTTCTTTTTGTGGTTGTACATCATCCTGTATATTAATTAATTTTTGATCTTGAATACAAACCCAAAATCATCGTCCTTGTGAAGGGCGCGAACTATGCTTCGCTCTTTCGCTGAAGGAATCATCCTGAAATTTCTTTTCTCGCCGCCGATGACGAGAAGAAAGGCTTCACCTCGACAAATGAATTTGTTAGGCAGACTCAAAGTTGCTTTATAAACAATGCGATACTGCGACCGAGCAATGGAGTTCGATGGAGGCAAGATGTGTTCAATATCCACGAAGAACACGGGTTCTACTCTTTCCGCGACGAAACGGTTCGGTTCTGGCAGCTGATGCAACTGTATATAGGGAGAGAAGTTTAAAAAAAAATTCTGAGTTAAGAAAATGTCTGAGTTAATGTCTTTAGAAACGGCGAATGACGCGAAAAGACGAACTCTTTCTGTCTGAGACGGCGCAAAAAAGTTAGTGTTGCGCATTCGCATGACTTATGATTTCTGATGTTTCGGCGAATACCAGAACTTATAGCTTGTGTGTTACTGTTAACCATGAAAATATAGATTTCATAAAATTTATGTGCAGCAAGAAATCTTTCGATGAAACGAGAACATTTCGGTGCAACAGAAATGCCAAGCGATAATTTGACTATACTATAATGGTAACGCTGAGGTACGACTAAATAAGTACAATACAGTATATAACTTTAAATTGTTAGATTTATTTTATATTTTGTGGAGAAAAGTCTTTCATGGTCGCGGTTCAGGTGGAATTTAGCTTCAGACCGTCTAGCTGGTGCATATAAATAAAAACCTCTGACTGTCCTTTTTATTCGAGTGTCACTATCGCATAATTTTGCTACTGAAGAACTGAAAAGTGCTGCAGTTGCAATGCTGGATTTTCATATTGCCACCAATAACTTAGACGAAGAGTGGCACTGCGAGTTTTACTTTAAATTAGAGTAGGTGTCGCTACTTTACAGTGAATTATTGATAGAAGTGCATCTGGCCAGGGGCCCAACTGGCCACATCACCGGTGATTTATGCGGATATCACTATTGAAGAAAAACGAAATATAGGACTGAATGTGTAAGTGGCCTCAAAAAAAAAACTTGGGATTTTTTCTACCGTCACTGTGCGTCGCGTCTCGCCCGAAGGAAACGCATGGATGGGGTCAAGATGCAGGAACACATGTCGCTGCGACAGATCCGTTTCTGAAGCCACATGGGACACCTTTCCTCGACGAACGATGACAACTTTGGCGACAAGTCCAGAATGCGCATGATCCAGATGAAGAACAAATGGATTGTTAAAAGGTGAATATTTCCCGGAAGTCGCCGAGATGAAGCGGAGAATGCGATTTGGATCATGGGTTGGCTGACGAGGATTGCCGCAAAATGGGCGGTATATGATTCGACAGTCCGCGGACCGCACGAATATTCCTCGAGGATTCGACGCAATGGATGAATCTAACGTCCTAAAGACTGGGTCTTCGCTGCCATTTGCGCTGACCAAATAGAAACTTATGAAGGCTGCGATCTGGAAAATTCTCGGGGACGAGCGCATTTCCGCAGCCTTAGAATAACTACTGTGAACATGCATAAACATTCTGGTCTACATCTACGGAATGCGCGGAGCCAACCAAAAAGTGAACTTCGTAAGTTCGTATTCTCGTCATAATCGCGATCGCAGCTGAAAACGACTGATCACGTTGTTATTACTGCACCGGATGTGGGAAGCTCGCGTCGTCGATTTTTTTCGCCTGACATAGATGTCGCTTGAGTTATTTTATAAAAAGTTTTCATCGGACCTGAGAAAGTTCATTTTGGAGATTTAATCGGTGCATGGTTTTCAACATACGCTTTTATTCTCAGACTTGAAGGATCTTTGAACATTACCCTTTGAATTTGGCCTCTGACACCGATAAATTTTAGAAAGGAATCAGAAAATGTTAGTGAAAAATATACACTAGTAGTCTTGTGCTTGGAAGAAATAGGCTGATTCCTATACGCGTGAAAATTGACTTATTTTACGTACCGAAATTTTACATCTCAAGTTTCGGAAAGATTTGAAGCATATCTCAACACTCGTAAAGTATCATCTCTGAATCTCTTTCAAATACATTCACGAACAAGTACCAACATACTCGTACATTAAGTTTCGATTAAAACAAAATCTGCTGGTTGAAAAGATCTTGATGACCTTTTATTTAGGCGACATTATGCCTGACGATATTTTGAAGAAATCAAGACAAAAGCATTGATATTTAACGTGCTAACGGACAGCTTGTATTCATGGATGCATTCCTCTTGTTAAAAGACGATCCTCGTGGGCGTTGTTGCTTTTCAATATCTTTCCACTGTTCAAGAAATATTTCCATGGTTGAGTTGAAATTTCAGACGTCGAACCATCATATTAATGCTTTGCTCTTCTGTTCGTACAGTAGTACAGTACTTCTAAAAGAATTTTCGACATCTCATGCAGCAAAAATGCGTGAGCGTGAGAAGCGAGTCGAAGAAAACGCGTCCATCATCCTTCACATGAGGCATTGTCCGCAAATTGTTTTCTGGCATCCAGTTCAATTACCTCGTGTCTCGAAGGCATAATACCTCGAAACTTGACACACACATTCTACCATTTCTGACAAAAATTTGAAACTTCCGATTAATAAACTCCAGAAGTTTCAGTTTATTCGTCAAGTGCATATAGCAGTACCTCAAGTAATTAACACGTGAGGTTGTTTCATCGATTGTTTCATGATGATCATCTCTAATTAAAGGTACGCATTAAATTTTCTTGCATGTCTGAATAATATCAACGAAAAAGAAGAGTACGTTTAAAGAGACAGGAAGCTTTTTATTATGGTGACAATTATGGTGTCACGGGTCGAACAGATGTCGCCCGCTGATACGCCGCTTTTCTCGGGACGACTAGATGTCGCCCGAGTCAGAGGAACAAATAGGAGAAGAAAATTCGACGCGGCGTACGAAAACGCCACATCGTCACAAGATTCGAGAAAAAGAAATCCATCTTCTTCCAGAAGATGATTATATAAAAACAATTATGAAACAAATATTCTGAACAAGCACAAAAAACAAGATTCCAAGGAAAACCAGCCTTGGAGATAGGGGGGATGAAAACTTTTTTTTTTTTTTTTTTCGGGGCCCGGGCCTCGGAATTTTCTATGAGAGCTTTCGAGTCGGAATTGATGAGCAGTGCTTTTCAAGTGTCAGGTCATTTTCGCCCGGGCTCATCTCGGCTTACTTTTTCTTCCTTCTGCGGTGCGTCTTACCTTTCAAGATTATTATTATTATTAATAATCTTTTTTCGCTTGAACTTGAATTTTATACATTTTTCTTCTTCCTGAAATGGGTCTCTGGCTTGTTTTGTATGGTATGCCCTTCTTCTCTCATTCCTCCACGTAAATTCTCTGCCCTTCAATTTTGAAGCGGGTTTGAAGGAAGGCCCTCTGATTCAATCATCTGCGGTGGATTTCAGCCCACAAGAAAAGTGGTTCGTTAGCGCCTGAATGCTTCGTTCCTCGCGGCCGAAAGATTTTGTTCTTGCATGAAACCGAGAATTTTCCATCTACATTTAAAGAATATACGCACGTGTTCCGAGTGAAATTCCCGAGCGGATGAACAGATGTGAAGTGGTACTGATGGACTTTAAGATCAAGTTTTTATTACAGCAGCAATATGATCGCAAATTTTTCGCTCTGATGCACCTTGCATTCATCATAAAGTACAAGCACTCCTTTTTTTTTCTGGAAAATTGAGGGAGAAAAGGGGGTGTGCATCGTATGCTGCGGGTGTACATTTTTCAGAACAAAAATAAATTATGAAACCGTATTGGTGCTGTAAGTCAGAATCAGAAGTTGGTCTCAGGGGAAACATTTATAGAAAATCTTACGATGCCAATTCTGATACCAACTTGTTATGTTCTCTGACTTGATTATAAGATTTTTTTAATAAAAATTTTCATTGTTGAACATATTTTAATTTTTCAGCCAACAATAACTGGGGGTTGGGTCTTACGTAAGGATATGCTTTTGGGAAAATTGTGTGCCACAAAATGACGGTGCAAGTTTTACTCAGGGGCGCGTAGTACTTGATTAAATTTGGTATGTGATTATAAAATGTAAATGCCTGCTTTATGACCGCCCTTCTCTATACATCCGTATGCTTGCTTTCTCTTTCAGGTATTGTAATTATTTTTAGCTCATTTAATTGCTGCAACGAAAAACAACCTAATTCTCTAACAAGATTCAGATCGGATTTAAAAAACTTATTTTTTATTTCTTTTTACTTACTCAGCACTTACTCTGAGATTAATTTTATAGCAACTATTTTTCCAACATTTACATCGCTGACAAAGCAACGTAGGCCGACCGTGTTTCGATACCAGAGTCATTGGCAAAATATATCTTTTTTCATGGATCCAAACGATGCAGCGTTCTGTTCTTTCCCTTAAATTACGGCATACACAGAGTTCGAAGTATTTTTTATGCGTTCTTGATGCATACTTGGTGATTTTTAAATTAAAAATCACCATTATCACCATAATTAAAGGTACTTCTTACTGGTTCTGTCATGGAAATTGATTGTAGAGCATGCAAGTGAAAGACGTCTGAAAGATATTCTTCGTTATTTTTCAAAAGCGCATTTCAAGGCAAGAAAAGTGTTTTTGGCGTCTCAGTTGATGAGATCATTAACTAAAGCGCACTATACATGAAGTCAGGAAGCGTCTTATTTTATTTGCCTAACAGAAATGTTCATTTTCAAATAAAATGAAATGAATGTAATCCTGAAAAGTTTATGCTCTCGATTTTTCAGACTTCGACAAATTTCAGGGAAAGGTACTGTATATTTCAGAGGGAAAACTATACCCTTCTTTCCTTATTTTCCTCAATGAAAATTCCAGTTTTACCTTCAAAACTTGCTAAAATCGGGAGCATTTTTCTTTGGCCAAGAATCTTTTTCATGGGAGTCAATAAATCCTCAAGAAAATGTTATAACGCGAATTTTTTTTTCTAAGTACTGTAGAATCTTTTTCAACCAAGTCTTGTTATAAAAAAGTATTACAGTACTTACAAAAAATGCAGTTTTTAGGTCCCTGCCAAATAGCCGCAATCCTTTTCCAGTTTATAAAAAAAACCATTAGATTAACCCTTGCGTGGCAAAGTTGGATTATTTTTGCAAAATTTTGTTGCACCTCAGAGAGGCAGAGAAAAAAATGACAACTGGGGGTTGAGGGTAAAGTTGGGAAAAATCCCAATGTTTTTTTTCCCTGGGCACAGAAAAATGTGGCTGGAAAAAAAGCTCAGTTGAGCAACAGGCTTTTCTTGGATTAATTCCAACTTTGCCACAGCCCACCTGAAAGGGTTTTCCTGACCTTTGAAAAACTGAAAATTCCAGAGGATACAAAAATAATCCAACTCCATCCTGCAATGGGAAAGAACCATCTGCCCTCAAAGCTTTAAATAGGTTTTCTAACTGGGTCCAATGATGGCTACTGTGGTGGAATAATTTGGTACACTAAATGACTAAAGTACCATTTCCTGCACATGCGTACAACAGCATTGTCTGTCAAAAGGAATTTGATTAATTTCAAGAATGTTTGAGAATGTTCAACCTGGACTGCTGTTAGATGGCAGTCCAGGTTGATTAAGTACTTGAATTTACTTCCTCAGCCAATCAGGATCAAGTGGAGAATCCTGCAAGAGAGAGAGGGAGCAGATCAGACTGGCTGATGCCATATTATTGAATTATACAGACATTACAGCGCAAGATTTCATCAAATCAAGTTGTGTGTGATTTGTGTATGAAAAATCCATTTTTTGTGTGAATCAATCTTGGGATTAATTTGAAATATACCTTCATCTTTCTTTTGTGATTTCATAAGGAAATCCCCAGCTGCACATCACAGCTGATTCTGTGTTTCATTTTTGAATTCTGCCTTTTGCGTAGATCTAATCCACAGCTACACCCTGAAGAGATTTAACTGTACAGTACCAGTATTTTTCTAAAACAAGGGACCCCATGTGATCTCACTGTTACACTCTGGACACCAGATTCCTGTATTGCCTCCCTCCCACATGGAGCCCAGCAATAATAACCTCGGCGGAACACAACTGTCCGTGTCGGACAGTCGATTCATCATCGCGCCCCATTTGACGTTTTAAATAGGCAGCTTCCTTCCTGCGCCCGCGCGCGGAAGCCCAGCAGACGGACATCCGTGCGGTTCGAGCATTACTTCGCGTGCCTGTGCTTGTATGCGCGCGGGTGGCGAGCAGCACGATGAGGAGGGGGGATGAAAAAGAAATCTTGATGAACTCGGTGATGGATGAGCGATGATCGCATACGGTATATAACGAGGGGGGACTCTCAAGTGTCGAGGATTCATTACGCACCTTGTTATCGCTTTGAAAAATTATGCATGATTCCGTTTAGTATATAGGTCCCTCGTTGTTTCGGTCGATACATAAGGAAGTGCGCGTTTTTGGTACGAGGACGCGGGGAAGAAGTGAAAAAACTTCTCGTGAGTCTCGGTTCAGGAGTCACGACTTTTTTATACAGGTGGACTTTCTCAGCAGCAAAATTCAATGGACCGGA